GCTCATTTGAGGGAAGGTTGTGTGTTAGGATTTCTCCTTTGCTTTTTGTCCCTGCCACCTCCCCATTTGCTGGCTGTGACCTCTCTGTCCCTCCTTGTCCCCAGAGAGCTGATTAAATACGAGTTCTTCCCTGAGGCCACCAGGACTGAGGAGGACCTGAAGAAATACCCCAAGTACCCCTGGGGCAGGGACATCTACACCCTGGAAGGTGAGAGTCTGTGGGGAGCTGAGGGGTCTGCTCAGCCTCTTGCATCATCCCCAGAGAGGTGGAGAATGTTCCTTGTGAGGAGATGGGGAAGCAGCTCAGGGGGGAAAGCAGTGAGGAGCTGCTCGGTGTGAGGATTTGGGGGTGCTGCTTTCCTCTTGGCTGCTCACCTGTCCCTCTGCAGGCATTGTGGATGGGGCTCCTTACTCCATGATCACTGACTTCCCCTGGCTGAGGTCCCTGAGGACAGCAGAGCCCAACAGCTACGCCAGATACGACTTTGAGGATGATGAGAGGAGTGAGTAACCTGCTCTGGTTCTTCACAGATTTGCTTCTCTGGCAGTGCCTCCCTTTCCTTCTCAGTTTGCTGCTCCTTAGGCTGGCTTTGGTAGATCTGGTGTTAAGGTGGGCTGGAGAGAAGTGAGAAAACTCACAGAAATTGGATATAAAAGTTGTAAACTGGACTTGGAAACTCTGGCATGGAGATTATGTGGGTTAGAATTTATTGCAGATGTGGCTCTTTCTATTGAGGAGCTTGTCTGCTCAGATATGATGGCAGGCAGAGCCTGGGGCTCAATTAAAAATCTTGCTTGCTAGCAGAGAAAAATAATGTTCTTCCCTTACTTAATTAGGAACATCCTAGTTAAAAATACCTCTACCTCTGGTTAAAAATACCTACCTTCATTAGAGGTATTTTTAATTGATCCTGGTTTGGATAATCTAACCCAGCTCCACTTTAGGAATCTCAAGAGGACAAGGAAGAGATTTTTTTTTTTTTTTTGGCTATACTTTTCCATGGTTTTATTTTTTAATTTCTTTTTAAAATTTTATTTTGGACTGATGTAATTTAATTTTATTTTAGCTTGGCTTGATGCCTGTAGTTCAATATGAAGACCAAATTACCAAAGAATTGATAAGTATTTAAGAGCCAGGATGTTAGAGAGTCATGGTGTTAAACCATGAAAACTCAGGACAGCGCTGCTGCTTTATTTGCAGCTTATAACAATTGCTGTTGTTCCTGAAGCATTTGAGTAGTGGATAACCTGGAATTGTGTCAGAGAGGACTCAGGGAAAGGCTTTTGGGTGCTCTGAGGGTCATTCCACCCCCAGCATTTGGAGATGAGCACTGGAGCTGTGGGAAGCCCTGAGGAAGGCACAGTGAGCGTCCCTCACACGCGGCCGCTCAGGGGAGGCTTTTCCTCTCTGGGTGTGAGTGCAGGCCCAGCCTGGCTGGGGAGCCCTTTCAGGAACAACATCTCCCTTTCCTTGCTGTCCCTGCCCAGCCACCATCTACGCCCCGAGGAGGAAGGGGCAGCTCTCAGCTGACATCTGCATGGAGACCATCGGCGAGGAGATCTCGGAGCTGCGCCAGGTCAGGCGGGGCGTGTTCCAGAGGGTCGTGGCCATCTTCATCCACTACTGCGACGTCAACGGGGAGCCCGTGGAGGATGACTACATCTGAGGGGTGTCCCCAGCCTGCCCTCCCTCCCCCTGGCACTGCTGGCCAAGAAAAAGCAGGATTTCTTTTTTCCAAATGCAAAGCATTTCCCACCGAGGCGCCCTCGGCTCTCCCCGTAGCCAGGAGGATGTAGTTAAATGTAAAATGGAAAGTACAAATTGTATACTAAGAGTTGTACATAGAGGAAACAAAAAAAAAACAAAAACAAAACTTCCTAATACTGAGACTTTATTTCATATGTTTATACAATTTAATTTAAGTTCCATTTTAATGAAGGCCAATAATCAGGAAAGGGGAAGAAGATTTGAACTTTTCAACCCATACAATTCATAGCAGTATTTTTTTTCCTTATAAACAACAATTCCATTTGCTGTGTTCAAAAGAGTCATCAGAGTCTCTTTTAATCTGTGCCTTTTTCTTGAGCATTTAAGAGTCCAGTCTGAGTAAACCTGGTGAGCACAATCTTGGTGTCTTGTGTGCATCTTTGGAAGGGTCAGAATATTCTCCAGCTGTTGCAAAGAAGGCCAGAAGCAGGAAAAAAAAATAGAGAATTTGGTGATCTGTGGTAGTTTCTAGAGATATTCAACCCATTTTTTGGGGGAAAGGAAGCCCCCGTGTTTAGCACCTTGGAAGCAGAATGTTCTCAAGCATTTTGTACTGTTAGATTTCATTTTCTCGGTGTATTTGACTCTGTACTATGGAAATCAAGTCGCTGATTGTTGGTTCCACCCTCGTGAGCATCCCTGTGCCCGTTGTGGCTGGCTGGGAGCTGAGCTGTCCCTGCAGGCAGAGCAGGGGCTGTGGGGGTGCCTGGTGTGTGTGACACAGCCAGGAGCTCTGGGCTCTGCTCCCTCCTGAACATTTCCCACTGGGCAGTAAAAACTGCTGCTCTTTGCCCCAGGCGTGTGTGTGTGGTGCATTGAAAGGTGCTCCCAGTGCCCACAGGTGTTTGGTGGGGATTTGCTGCCAGTGGGGTGTGAAATAATGCACATTTTGGTGTGGCACTCCCAGGGTGCCAGACCTTGCAGCTCTGGCCTGGTCTCTCATCCCTGCTGGTTTAAAATTGGTGTTACCAGCCTAGAAAATGACACTTTCTGACGTAAAAGCTGTACAGTTTAAACCATTTTATCCAGTTTTGCTCATCATCCTGATGGTGATTTTCTGAATTTGGGGTAAATGTGGCTAATGGGGATTTCTGTGATGTTTAGCTCTGTAAAACTGAGGTGAAGCTGCTCCACACAGCCAAGGCAGTGCTGGTTTTCTCAGGCTCACTGTGGGAATTCTTGGGATAATGTGGATCTAGAAATATGTGGGATAAGAGGGGGAGAATGGTGCCTAATGGGAGCATTTCCTCAGCCCTGCTCTCTGCTGACTGGAGGTGGAGCACTAAACACCAGAGAATAATGTGAATGTTACTAAATTTGCTTTAATGCAGGATCACAGTCAATGGTTTATTATAACTCTTCTATTTAATTAACCATAGATCATGTATTCAGTGATATTCAGCCAAAACAATTGTGACCCTTTCTAGAAGTGTTTCAAGTCCTCTGAGTCATTGATTCTGTCAGATTTACCATTTTAGTCCAGAAAATGTTACTGAGTTTCTGGAGAACTGCACCAGTCTCCAGCTGGTATCTCCTCACTGCAGCCTTTTGCAGAAGTATTTACACAAATAAAGTGTTTGTTTATATTCAGTATCTCTGGAAGTAATTGAACCTTGCAGTGATTTTGCCCTCTGAAATGTGACACCCATTGTACACCAATGCCTGAATCCCCTGTGTCCATCTCCTGAGGGCTGTGGGGAGGGAGGAGCTGGGATCTTCTGGGGGTTTGATCTTTTGGCTCTGAGCTTCTTCCTCTCTCCATTTCCTGGCTGTTTTGGGCACTTTTATTCAATCACCATGACAGGGGAGTATTTGCCTGGCTCTGCCCAGCTCAGATGTTTGTGTGCCTGGTGCGTGGCAGGAGGAGCAGCTGCTGTCCCTCAGGTGAGTCCCACAGTGAGGGCACACGATTGCAGCTCTGTGGGGACGGGCTGGGCTCCAGGCCTGTTTGCTCCTGGGTCCCAGAGGGAGCTCCAAAGGCAGCCTGGCCAGCACTGAGCTGCAAAGGTAAGGAATTGATGGAGGAAATGTGGGGGCACCACCTGTGTGCCCTGCTTCCCCTGGATGTGGCTTTGGGGAAATCACAGAGCAGGAATTTCTTCCCTGGGTCAGAGCTGACTCAGCCACTCTGGGAGGTGAAATCTTGGTGGGGTTCCTGTCCCTGTGTGCAGGAGCAGAGTCAGAAGGGCCCTTACAGTCACAGGGGGCTCCTCTTGCAGTCCCTGGGGAGCACTGAGCAGCCCAGGTCCATCCAGCTGCTGGTGGAGGTTCCACTGGCTGGGACTGAGCCTGAGCTGACTCTGGTGCTGCTTTTCCCACAGCTCCTCCTGGAAGAGGATGCAGAGATCCCAGCTGGGAGAGGCTCAGGGGCCTGGAAATGTCATCCAAATAGCACAGAAGGTAAACAGGGAAAGGCCAGGGTGTGTTTGGGCCCAGCACAGGGGCACAGCTTCCTGCTCACTGTGCTGGGGCTGCTTTTCCCTCTCCTTGAGGAGCAGAACCAGTGCTTGGGTTTCAGAAAGGGAAGGCTTTTGGAAGTGTTTTTGTTTGAGAAGCTGAAAGGGGTTGATGCAGACAGGAATGATGCCCCTGCTCTCTCTCCAGGCTGCTCAGGGTGTGAGGATCCCCTTGCCCAGGATTTTCACATTTAGCTCCCAGTTAAGCAATTCCAACTTCACCTTTTGTCAGGTGGGACAGGGACACCTTGGCCCTGTGTGCCCTGCATGTGACAACAGGGCAGCCAAAGCCAGGGCCCAGCCCCTGGAGAGCTCCCTTCAGCTCCTCAGCACTCCCTGGGGGTTGGCAGGAGATAAACTGGGGGTTTGTTCAGGAAGATTTATACAAAAACTGGAAGAACTAAAAGCTTTGGTATCTTTTTATTGATATTATTATTATTTATTGTTATTAATCCCCTGCAGATTTCTTGCCTTTTGGCCTGGGAGTGCTCAGAGGTGGCTCAGGGGCTCAAATGTGGAGGAAAAGGGGATCCTGAACTGGGGAAGGGCTCCCAGCTGCCAGGTACAGAATGGAAATGCTCTCCTTGCCTCAGCACTGTGAGCTGGGTGGGAATGACTCAGTGCCTGTGTGGGCTGCCTGCTCCCAAAGCAGCTCCTGGCTGGAGCTGCTCCTGCTTTTCATCTGTGCTGGGAACGAGCTGGACACGATCTGGGCCCCATTGGTTGGTTCTGGGCACGTTATTAAGTCAGGCTGACACAAAGAAGTGCCTTAAATACCTTCAGAGTCTCCCTCCTCTTGCTGAGCAGGGCCAGTTGGGAGTGAACTCCACCCTAAAGCCACGATCTTGGGTGAGGTGAGCTTTAGGCTGGAGATATCTGCAGCAATCCCTAAACTGAGAGGATTTGGAAATGCAAAAGCAGCATTTATGTAGCTAATGCAGCATTGCTGATTGTTCCCAGAGCTCTGGAGCCAGCAGGGGACAGGAGGAGCAGATGAGGTAAAATCAGAGCCATTTTGAATCAGAGGCAAGGTGAGCATTGTTTACCTGTCAGCTCTGCAGGTTTCAGTGGCACATTCCCAATGTTCCTCCTCCCTGAAGTGTCCTTTGGTGGAACAGACACCCCTGGAGGAGCAGAGTTTGCCAAAAAAGTGTCTCTGCAGGAGGGGATCCCCTGCTGCACATCCAGGGGACCCTTGGCTTCCATTTCTCACATGAATCCCTTTGGATGGCTCTGATCCCATCGGCAGCTCTGCAGGGACCTGGGAATCCTCCAGGTAAGGGGCCAGGACAAGGTGGGGGCTTCTGGACTGCAAATAAATCCCAATTGGGAAGGAACAAATTCCTGTGAGCAGGGGGACAGTCAGGAGCAGGGCAGGGCCTGTTCTCTGTGCTGGCCCTGCTGAGGGGGTGCCCAGTTCTGGGTCCTTGGGCAGGAGGGACCTGCAGGGGCTGGAGCATGTCCAGGAAAGGAGATGGAGCTGGGAAGGGGCTGAAGAATTCCTGAGGGAGCTGGGAAGGGGCTCAGCCTGGAGCAAAGGAGGCTCAGGGGGGCCCTTGTGGCTCTGCACAGCTCCCTGGGCAGTTCCAGTGCCTGAGCCCCCTTTCCATGGGGAAATTCCTGCTGTGCCCACCCTGAGCCTGCCCTGAGCCCCCTTTCCATGGGGAA